TTGTCATGGAGACAGAATGGATGTGCAGCATGCGACGATCCCGTGAGCACAGCCAGCTCTTTTTTCTTCCTGGAGAAAAACACTAGGTGGACACGAGGCCTCATCACTATACCTTTTATTTTATTATTATTTTGTATACATTTTCTTCCATTAATATTTATATAAACTGTATATTGACTTATTTTTTTAGTTTTAGTTTGTTTTCTCTTTGCTTCCCACTCAGCTCCTCTCTTCGATGCATCACACTGCCACACACACATTCACACATTTTATAATACACTACCTCAACATAAAAGTTACAGCTTGACTTTCACCATATCTCATTTAAATGTATTTGCCCGTATTGTTGTGTTGTATCTTTGCTAATGTGGTTTAAAGAGTTTTGGACAGCGATGTAGTGGAACTAATAACAAGAAGATTGTCTTAGAGATTTCACTTCAAGCTGCAGGAAGAGAAACGAGACTGTTTTCTGTGTTCCTGCTCTGAAGAAGCTCCGCCCCCTCACCTGTCTCACCTGAGACAAACCAGGAAACAGGCTGTTATTCTGCCTCACTCTGAAGAGACACACACGCTGACAGACGGACCGACCTGCAGACACAAACCAGCACGACTTCCACTGAGAGAGGACAGGAGGAGGAGGGGATACTGGGAGTACTTGTTATACTGGATACTGGGAATACCAACACTTCAACCTGCTGCTGAATCCACAAACTGAACGTGAGTTTCAAAGAAAAACAATCAAGTGAAAGTAACTCTGAGGGACGGGGAGTGCTTCCTGTTTTTTCTGCTTGACTCTGAGATAAAATGGCGTCCAAGTTAGAGAATCTGAGCTGTCCGATCTGCCTCGACATCTTTAAAGATCCAGTCACCCTGTCCTGCTTCCACAGCTTCTGTAAAGACTGTCTGCAGAACTGCTGGAAGGAGAAGGAGAATAAGGAGTGTCCACTCTGTAAGAGGAGACATTCAAAGGATATTTACCTAACTTTGCTTTAAAGAACCTGTGTGAGAGTTTTGTGCAGGAGAGAGATCAGAGAGCTTCAGAGGATCTCTGCAGTCTGCACTCTGAGAAACTCAAACTCTTCTGTCTGGACCATCAGGAGCCGGTGTGTCTCTCTGCAGAGATTCAGAAAAACACTCTGAGCACAGATTCAGACCCATCGATGAAGCTGCTGGACAACACAAGAAGAAACTTCAGGAAACTCTGGAGCCGGTAAAGAAGAAGTTAAATGTTTTTAAAGAAGTTAAAGTGAAGTTTGATCAAACAGCAGAACACATTCAGGTCCAGGCCCGACACACAGAGAGGCAGATTAAGGAGCAGTTTAAGAAGCTTCACCAGTTTCTAGAAGAGGAAGAGGAGGCCAGGCTGTGTGCACTGAGGGAGGAAGAGGAGCAGAAGAGTCAGAGGATGAAGGAGGAGATGGAGGCTCTGAGCAGAGAGATAGCAGCTCTTTCACACACAGTCAGAGACACAGAGGACGAGCTGAGAGCTGAAGACGTCTCATTCCTGAAAAACTACAAGGCTGCAGTGGAAAGAGTCCAGCAGCGCCCCCTGCTGGAGGATCCACAGCTGCCCTCAGGAGCTCTGATAGACCAGGCCAAACACCTGGGCAACCTGAGCTTCAACATCTGGAACAAGATGAAGGACATGGTCTCCTACAGTCCGGTCATTCTGGACCCAAACACTGCTCATCCACCTCATCCTGTCTGAAGATCTGACCTGTGTGAACAGGAGAGAGACAGCAGCTTCCTGATAATCCAGAGAGGTTTGATATTACTGTCTGTCCTGGGCTCTGAGGGCTTTAACTCAGGGACTCACAGCTGGGACGTCCAGGTTGGAGACAGTACATACTGGTACTGGGTGTGTTAGCAGAGTCTGTAAAGAGGAAGGGACAACTGTCTGGATTTTGGAGAATAGGGTTCTATGTGGTAAATACACAGCACGCTCCTCATCACATCCAGTCACTGATCTCTCAGTGAAGAAGAAGCCTCAGAGGATCAGAGTGAATCTGGACTGTAACAGAGGAGAGCTGTCGTTCTCTGATCCTGATACTAACACACACATACACACCTTCACACACACTTTCACTGAGAGGATGTTTCCATCATTACACTGGTGATAAACTAAAGATTTTACCAGAGAAGATCTCTGTGACTGTGGAACACTAATACATGATGATGATGATGATGTTCTGAATCTTCGTCTCTGATTCTCTTAGGGTTGTGTGACTGCGTTGTCATGGTGATGGTGATGTTGTTTTATTAAATCATTCGTTATAACTTTGAGTATTTCCACAGCAGGTAAAATCTTGATCCTGATTGGTTGGTTTGTTGGAGTCTATTTAAAGATAATCTGCTCAGCGTGTTAACTGGTTAACTGTCATCTGTTGCTTCAGCTGCTGTGAACGTTTGATTTCTGACTTTTTCACTTGAACTCTAAGGAGTCCCTGAAGGCATCATCTGTATCTTTGTGTGCATTATGAGTTATTATCCTGCATGGAGAGAATAAAACAGTAATGATTATTATCTGATCTGAAATCACTCTACAGTTGTAGAATAATAACTTCAGATCATCACGTTTTCCTCTTCTTACTAAATCGTAGTTCCATCTTTAATCTTGTTGGTGTAGTCAGGGCTGTAACCAGGGTTTAGAAAATAGTGAGGTCCAGAATTCTTTCTGTTAATATATCGTATTCAAGGCATTTTGGGACATGCAAGATTCATGGCCAAATGATACCTTCAAATTCAACAGAAGCTAAACACCCAACCAACACAAACTCACACACATTCACTTCCTGTATGTAAAGTGAATGATCTGTAGATCACGTGCAGCCCGAACCACGGTGGTTATCCAAACAGAGCATCCATGACATTCAAAAGTAAACATTTTAAGCAGCTTTCATTTCTTTTCCTGCATTCTGGTCAGTTTTTATTCACCATTTTTTGTTTTGTTTCTGCAGAACTTTATGATTCTTATCTCGTCTTTTTGTCCTTTTTGTGTCTTATGCACAATAATGAATGCATTCATTGAATATTTTATAAACATGTGGACTGGACAGTTGACTCTGCACTATTCCAGCCCTGCAAAGTTTCTGTTTACAAGTAGCCAATATGTAAAAGTGATATATAATTTAGTACGGCATTATTTTGTTTATGAACTTGTAAGAATGGCAAACTTGAACTTTTAAAAAATGATCCAGATTGTGATTAATTTTCTGTGACAAATGGTCATACAGTGATCTTATCTTTGATGTTTGTTTGGTTTATTGTTGTTCTTGTTTTAAGAGGGGTTAGGACAGTTTGATGACTATCGCACAAGAGAGAGAGAGAGAGGGAGAGAGAGGAGAGAGAGAGAGAGAGCAGTTTTTTATTTTTCCTTACTTATTCTTCGGGGGTTCCAAATAACTCAACATTAATCCTGTTTTTAAAGTTTGAGTCATTCTGGAGCTTCATTCTACAAAGGTATGGCTCCGTAGATTTGTTATCATGTTTGAAATGTCAAATATCAGACCTGAAGACTGTCTTTGTCAAAGCTTTTGTTCATGTTTCTTTACCATCTTCATCTTCAGTGGATGAAACGTCCTCTGAAGAATCCAAACTAAGAACGCTTTATGTTCTTTGAAAACAACAAAGAGTTCAAAATAAAGAGTCAAAATATCTTGTTAGTGTGAATCCTCTGTCACCTGTAATCACTATCAATAAAGTATTTCTACACTTGATCTGAATCCGTCTTTATAACTCGTGTTGTGTGTTTTATTGATGCTTGTAAATGTCATCATGGACGACTCTTTCTCCTGACAGAATGAGTTTGTCTCTGTGATTAATAATAAAGTTATTCTTATTAAGTCAGGTGTTTCTTTAACTCCAGTCTGAACCTGCGACATGTGAAATCAAGTCGATCAGTGTCGTCTCTGACTCGTCCATCAGGTCGGACAGGAGAAAAGAAATGTCCTGAAGGGAAAGAGTTTGATTCAGAGATCCAACGAGCTCTGGAGAACACGGGTTCATTATTGAAGGTTAACCACCTGATGAACATCACATGTCAGTTATTGAACACTTTAACCGTTTGAAGATTTATTAGAGGAGGAACAGCAGCTCACAGCGACACTTAACCCCCTCCACCACGTTAAGCTGATGATTCTTGGAGGGAACATTCAAAATATTGATTGTAATTCAACGATTGAAACTTTATTCCTTTTTAGGAAATTATTAAAAATAAAAAACTGTTTAAAGAGAAGTTGAAGCTGAACTACGCAGGGTTTCTAAACTAGAATGATTTTGAAAGCAGCATTCCCTCAGTGCTCCGTCTGCACCCCCTCCCCTCTGTGCTCCCTCTAAAGCCACGCCCCCTCACTTACAAACGCCGTCTCTCCAGAAATGGACCTCAGCTCATCTCTTGCTTTGTGTAGAAACTACGTCGTCTCATGTCTCATTCAGCGGTCAGTAAACTCACAGTTTAAACTCCTAAAGTCATCGGAGTGTGAGCTAGAGCACGCAAGAGGTAGAGAGCGAGCAGGGAGACGGGGAGGCGTCTGATTGGTTCATCAGATTGGTACCTCGTGGCAGACATTGGTTGAAGTTTTTACAGACTTACAAACTGATACAGATGATGGATTTTCTTTGTTCCTTTTTCAGAGAACATGAGTTATTAATTTCTGTCAGGACCTAAAGACAATTTACACCAAAATCTGAAAAAAGTGGATCTGGAGGAAATGACCAACTGGACTATTTTAAAGTCCAGTTATAGTCATACTGAGACAATAAATCCACTTTTGTAAACATCATGTAAACGTACTGACTGATTCATTTTATCAAAGAGACTCTAGCTGGAAAAAAGTTTATTTGCTGTCATCGAAACCAACAAGAAAAAAAAACCACATATCAGTTACGTCTTATGAGTAAAAGAAGAAGTCCTGTTCATGTTGATTTCATTATCTCCTACACGGGTAGCTCCTGTAGGATTTAACACCATTTCCCATAATCCCACCTTTGTCACTAAAGCGTTAATCTATTCTCTTCAGCGTGCGTGGTGACGTGGCGGCGCAGGTGGCTGCTGGAGATGAAGTCTTGCCGCAGTGCGAGCACCTGAACTGCTTGCAGTCCGTGTGCACGCTCATGTGGACCTTCAGGGATCCCGACTGGGCGAAGCGTTTGCCGCAGTGGACGCAGTTGTAGCGTTTCTCTCCCGTGTGCACCCTCTGGTGGCGTTTCAGGTTGCTGGGGTCGGAGAAGCGTTTTCCGCAGAGCATGCAGACGTACGGCTTCTCGCCCGTGTGGACCCTCATGTGGGTCTTCAGGTTCTTCAGGCAGGCCAGAGTTTTCCCGCAGTAGTTGCACACAAACGTTTTCCCCGCGCTGTCCTCCCCGCTGTTACTGGACACCCTGCTCGCGGCGTCCAGATGTCTCCACCGGTCCCGTCTGAGGAAAGCACTTTGCCTCTCTCTCGTCTCTTTTCTCGCAGGAAGCTGCAGCGCCATCTGCTGGTTGTTCTGTAAGCCTGCAGGCTGTCTGCACTCTGCCACCGGCGGGCTCAGCTCCCCGACGGTGAAAGAAACGCTGCCCGAATCGGACGCAGCTGAAACTCTCCCTCTGGTGTTCGACGCGTACGAGCAGCTGGGATCCTCTGGCAAAGGATTCTGGGTACTCATTGAGCCGTGCTGAAGCTGTGGCTCGAACATCAGACAGTCGAAGCTGCCGGTTTCTAAACTCTGGCTGGTGTTTGTCGTATTCTGGACGCACACTGAAGTGGAGCTGACTTCCTCGCTCGCCCAAGCTCGAGTAGAACCGCCACCTTCCTCCGTTACTTCCTGTTTAGTCAGCAGGGGCGGAGCTTCTGCGTCTGTCGTCTGTTCGTCAACAACAGGAATAAGATCTGCTGGAGAGAGAGAAAGAGAAATATCTTACCTTTCTTACATTTTCAGTGTTCAGATAAAGAGCAGGTGTAGTGCGTACCTCTTGTCACATTAGTCTCAGAGACTCATCATGAATCATAAAAAAAAAACGTCCTTTAAAGCCTCGCTCACACTGTGAGATTTTCCCCCGATCATATCAAAGTCGTGGTGGCACGTCAGCTCACACTGTACGACCTGATTGTCGGACACGTCCAGAGAGCTCACACTGTACGAGTGAAATTAGGACGGAGCGTTGACAGTTGTTAATAAAGTTTCATTTGAAAACCCCAACGGACGACGGCCGGTGAAAGAGAAGGAAGTGGAAGTTGTTGTAGGATTTAGGAAAGTTGATACAATCGTAGATATGGAGACAAGTTTCAGA